AGAGACTCCCAGTGAAATTCTCATAGTTCTTGCTACCACACACAAAAAGTCCTTGCTACAACTTTCCTGGCTTCTTTATCAGCAGTGAAGATTTCTATGTTCTAAAAATCTCTTCCTACTCTGCCCCAATAATCGTTCTACATCCTTCCACCAAGATTATCCCTTTGGGATCCCCAAAATAGTTGCCATAACCTTCTGACCTCCGCTTTAAATTTAACTGTCCTCGGAAGTCACAGTTTTGACAGGACCTTTTTTTTTTTGAAGGCACCCTACAGAAACCAAGACAACTGTAGTCTATTTTTAAATAAATAAATAAGTAAATACATCACTAATCACACAGAAATTTGGAATAAACCCGTGCACATTTGAACTGCACTGCAAGTAGCAATATTCTTTGGCTTAGTCTCGTATACACAGAAAAAAAACAAAAAAACGTTAATTCTAATCCTAAATCTGGCATGATTAGTATGGCCTTCAGTTTGAGATTTACAGCAAAGAATAAAATTGAGTTTTGGATTAAAAAAATAAATAAATAGAACAAATTACTGAAATATTTCACCTAGACAAAACTTACTCCATGACAAACTTTGGATTTGGATTGAGAAACAAAATAGATCATCTAATAGTTAAAAAGGAAAGATCGTAAAACTCACTCTTTAAAGAACCCATAGTCATTCTCGCTCTATTTGCTTTCACGTTGTTTACAATTGCTTCAGCCCTGGACCAGCCCCATAGTTCACCATCCCCACCTTCTGTATTGAAATGGCTGAACACACTCAGAGAAAAAGCACTCGGAATAGAAGCCATTGTTTTATAGGGCATCAATCTGTATCACAGCCCTTGCTGCTGAGTAGATGCTCACTCATAGAGACCCTACAAACCAAAGATCAAACCCACGGTTGTCAAGTTGATATTAACTTAGAGTGAGCCTACAATAGACCAGGCTCCATAGGGTTTCAAAGGTTTACAAAAGGTTTCAAACCTTTACAGAAGATTGCCTCCTCTTTCTCCCTCCCAGTGGCTGGTGGGTTTGTACGAACAATGCTTAACCAGCGGCACCATTATTGTTCTTTACAGCAGACCTATACCACATGTCAATTCTTTGTCATATTTTTAGTCAGTCATGTTCTGATTAGCCATTTTATAGAAACACTCCCTATCACCTACTCTCAGCAGATGATCTTACCTCCTTACTTCATGACGACCAACTCCAAAACCAAACTCACCGCTCCCTAGTCAATGACACCCTTCCGTGGATTTCCGGGACGGCAACTGTTTACAGGAGTAGAAGGCCCAGTCTTTTTCCCTCTGAGCTGCTGGGGGTTTCAAACTGGTCGACTATGTGGATGACAGGTCAACTCGTAACCACTAGAGCACCAGAGTTCCACTTCAGGACCATCCCTTGAAAATTCACTTACTAGATACCTTAGTCAACCAACTCTCTTGCTGGTCTTAAAGGAAAAAGTATTCTTCCCCAACTCCAATTTAAGACTAATATCTTAATTTATGCACAGTGAAAAAGCAAAGAAGGGGGGGCAAGTCTAGTTTGTTAATGTTCCTGCTTAGAAGCTCTACTCTGATTTCTGCAACTTTGGTGTCTGCCATTAAGCGTCTCAGAATAATCCACTCTTTTCCATTCTTCTTTAAAAAGAAATTTTCTTTTTATTGGGGGCTCATACAACTCTTATCACACTTCATACAACCACCCATTGTATGTCAAACACATTTGAACACCTGTTGCCCTCATCATTCCCAAAACATTTGCTTTCCACCTGAGCCCTTGGTCTCTCAGCTCATTTTTTCCCTCCCTCCCCACTCTCTCCCATTCTTCTTTTCGTAATGCTTTCACATTTTACTTTCCATGTATTAACTCTCTCACTCCTTTTTTAGGGGAGGAGTCAGTATTTCTATTTCTTTACCACCCAATCACTCCATCAATCTTCCATCTGCTTTTACTGTATATACTTGAGTATAAGCCGAATATCCACTGAGGTACCAAATTTTACCACAAAACTGCATTAAAAATGTGCTGAAAAACTCGGCTTATACTCAAGTACATACGGTAACTCTGTCTTCATCTGAAGCTAAGGACAAAAGTTAACACAGGGACACTGGACTCCACCAATCCAAAGGGATGAAGAAAAGTTTGATTTCACAAATACTGCAATGTATGCCTGTACCTATTGATGGAAGTTGGAATGTTAGAGGGATTTAATTATGACTTTGTCCTTAGCTCTAAAGTGGACAAAACTAGAAACTTTAAAAAGTCAAAACTGAAAAAAAAAAATCCACTGCCATAGTGTTGACTTCGAATCACTTTGTGAATGCAGGGTTTCCAAAACGAAATCATTTTGATTGTAGACAGCTTTACCTTTCTTAAGTGGAGCTCTTAGTGCAGCAGTTCTCAACCTGTGGGTCATGATCGCTTTGGGGGGGGTGTGTCAAATGACCCTTTCACAGGGGTCGTCTGATTCATAACAGTAGCAAAATTGCAGTTACGAAGTAATAGCAAAAATAATTTTATGGTGGGGGGTTCACCACAACATGTGTAACTGTATTAAAGGGTCGCAGCATTAGGAAGGTTGAGAACCACTGTGTTAGTGGGTTTGAACCATCAACTTTGTGGTTAGCAGCCCAACACCCTACAGCTCCAGAAAACAGCCCACAAAATTTTCTACAATTTACACTGAGGATGAGTAGTTTGTATTATTTACATGTGTACTCACAGTTGTTGATAGTGTGTACGTGTTTTTTTGTTTTAATGTCTCCATTAAATACTAGAGTATTTACAAGAGTCAATTACAAAGTAGGGCAACTGAATCTCTAATTTAAATAATCTACTACCTCCAGCTGAAAAATCTTTCTAAGCAAAAAGGCAGGGTACAGTAGAAAGAATCAGATATGGATTTGAAGTCCAGCTCAGGAACTATCTAGGTATGAAACCCTGGCTAAATTATTTAACTTTCCCACCTATAACGCTGTTATACCCTAACTTTGCAGTTTCACTATAAGATTAAATAAAACATGTTAAAAAAAAAAAAAAGCACTTAACACAGCCCCACTCACAGCCATCAAGGGAATTCTCACTTACAGTGACCCCTATAGAATAGGATCAAACTACCCTGTGAGTTTCCAAGACTGTTAATTCTTTTTTTTTTTTAAGACTATAACTCTTTACAATGGTAGAAAGCCTTGTCTTTCTCCAGCAGAGCTGGCTACTGGTTCTGAACTACTGACATTGTGGTTAGCAGCCCAACTTATAACCACTATGCCACCATGGATCCTCACACAGTTCAAGGCACCTATAAAATACCTTCCTCCTCTTGGCACAATGTTCTAATCCCAAACTATTAAGGAATAAAAGTGTGCCAACATGAAGCAGTATTAAAATTTTGTAAACTACGTCAAATGGAAAATGTGACAAAGGCACCATCTGTTCATATTGACTAATAATTTTTAAATGAAAAGCTTCAATCTGAAGTGAAATGCACTGGAGTTAGCCAAAGGCTTTGAGAGAATCCAACGACAGACGTACTTGGATTAAATCCCCAGTAACATCTTGTAAAAGATGGCATACGATTTTAATGGGCAAAGACAGCAGCGCAAAGCAAAGTAAGAAAGGCAAGTCTAACTCACCATTTCTCAAGAGGAAGATATCAAATATACAAATTTCCTTAGGGATGCACTAAAGTAAATGCATCAAAGGAATATACAATGAAGGGCAGTCCTTCTCTAAATTAAAAACAAAACAAGCATTCATGACCAACATGGCTTTTTAGTTGTTAGAATTGATGCAAAGCAGCTGGATTTAGTAGACTGTAGGAGGTCAGCTGCTAATCCTAAAAAAAAAAAATATTCTGGGGGGTGGAGAAAGTGGGCAATCGTCCCAATAAAACAACTGCCAGAAAACATCATACATATATAAGAACATACACATCTGTTAAATATCAGTTTACACTGTCCTAGCCAACTTACTGATCAAGATGAAGAACTGAAGGTCTACAAGAATAAATCTGCATTTTGCATGGATGGCTACTGGAGAATAGTTCTCCACGCCAACTCAAGGCCAGGAGAACGAAATAATAAATCCAGTGTTCACTTTCAAATGTGGGGAGGAGAGGAAAGGGAGTCTCCGAGTACACAAAGTTCTCCTCCCTCTAAAAACACTGTAAAAACTGCCCACGTCTAAAGATACTGACCCTGGAAACTCCTTGGAGAATGGCTTGGGAGACTTTCTGTTCAGAGTTTTGAGGGGGAGTGATTTAGGAATGCTACAAGCTTGTCACTTTCAAACAACGTGAACATAATTAAACTTCTGAAATTGTATGTCCTCTGGGGGTTTGTTTGTTTTCCAGATCAGATTGATCCCTTTCCTTTCACCACTCCTATAGTCATCAAACCCCCCAATATAACCCCGAAGATAAACAAAACCAGAGCCTTAAAGAATCTGCAAATAAAGGACACAGACAATTCCCAAGAATCTATCAACTCCCTCTCGAGTGGAAAGCGAAAGGAGGCACGAAGAAATACAAAGCAGATAGAAAAGGGAAAAGCAAACACATTTTAAAGAGGGAAGAAAAAGTAGGAAGGAGGTGAAAGGAACAGAGGGAGGGCAGAAAAAGTCCAGCTGATCCCGACACAATTGAGGGAAGAGGGCAGAAAACATCCCCGAGGCCACGGCGTGGAAGGAAGGACCGAGCGGGGCAGGGGCGCAATAGAGAGGTCTGCGCCAAAGGCCCATCCCGGGGGGCCACACGGAAGCCAAGCCTGCGAAGGGGGTCAAGACTCATCAGGAAAGGAGGGCGAGCACGTCCCGGGAGGCAGCTCCGAGACGGAGGATGTGGAGGCAGTGTCTTCCTATCCGCAACCCGCAGGCCGCGCCAGACGTCTTGGGGGGCACTGTGGCTACGAGGGCTGAGGGGTTACCGCGGGGGTTCGCAGACGTGGAAGGGGGTGCGGCCCCCAAGGCTGCGGCAGGAGAGCAGGCCCGCGGTCCGTACCTTGTAGTACACATCGAACTGGATGTTCTCCGGCAAGGAGCGGATGTCTCGGCGGGAGCGGGTGTAGTTGTCCACGACCGCGGAGATGGCGGTGTTATAGAGAGTCTCCGGGATCCACTCGAGTTCCACGGCCGCCATCTTTCTTCCCTCCTCCTCCGCCTCCTCCGCCTCCTCCCGAAGGCCCCCGCCTCCCTCCGTAGCGAACTCCTGGGCGGCCCCGGAGGATTCGGAGGGGCGGCGGCGGCCGCGCGGGCTCACTGCACAGGGGCACGGCCGCCCGGATGGGCACCCCCGAGGCGGACAAGGACACACAGGGAAGCAGGCGCGGGCCCAGCCGGAGCGCAGGCGAGAGCCGGGCCGAGGCCTCAGAGTCCGGGTTCCTCTGAAGCCCGGGCTCCGTGCGAGCGCCGATCGCTGCAGGGGCGGGGCTGCGTGTCGGCGTCATGACGTCAGCGGGCTCCGACGCGCTGGGAGGGAAGGAATGCGGCAGGCGACGACCGCGGGGGGAGGCTTGCTGCGCTCCCTCCCACCGAGAGTGGACTTTCTCAGCGAGTTGAGCGTTGGATGCCTGGGGGTCGGGGTCGGGGTGCGGTAGTACGCTTTTTAACCAGGTGCAAGTTAGAACCGAGCTTCTAGTCTCCTTCTTAGTTCTTAAACAGGGACCCTTCTGCGTCTCGGGTAAAAGTTTGCACCCACTCCGCTCACAAACGCACAATTATCCGTTTGCTAAAAATGATATATTCAGGGAAATCACTGTATTGCAGAATACCTTTCATAGGCTCGGGTCCCTAACCCCCTACTCTAGGAACGAGATCAGGATGGAAGACACTTTTCCGGGTGAACTTTTTATTTTGTTCCTTGCTTTGCCTTGCACCTTGTTCCTCAAGTAAAATAAACAAAAGTTCAAAGAACCCCTGTTCTAGAAAACTTCATTGTGTAAGTAGCTTCATTATAGAATTGCACACTGGTGAGGGAATCGCGGCCTTACTGCCCACAAACAGAACTTAAGTCAAATAGAAATGAAGATTTCCGTTTTCTTTTTCTTTTTTAACTACTCATTGTACTGGGGGCTCTTACTAGTCTCAGTCCCAGAGGATTGTTGAATAATTGTTTACTACAAGGTACTAACCGTGGACCCAGTCCGTGGGCCTGTAGTCTTGAGGCAACCTCTGGGGCTGCACCCCCTTCCACGTCTGCGGAAACCCCCGCAGTAACCCCTCACCCCCTTGTAGCTGAGAGGTAGATAAAGAGACGCTGAATGAAGACGGGAATATGAAGTTAAGAAAGGTTTTATTAAAGCAAGGAAAAACTCCCGGGCGAATTCCACAACCTAAGGAGCTAGGTGAAGGAAGCCGCAGTTTGGCATTGAGGCCCGCAGATACATATATGGTTTGAGCCAAGGACTTATGCGTTGATAAGGGGAAGGAAGGCTTTTAGTCCTGCAGCTGCAGGATTTCAGTCAGAACGGCTGTGAGCGAATTATCTCACTAACTGCAAAGTTGCTTTTTGGAATGTTGGGAGATGGGGCTGGGTGGACTCGGAGAGATAGCTCCTTGGAATGTTAAGAGCAGGGGCTGTGAAGTCCAGCAGGTCATCCATCTTTCTGTGGGGCTGGGGAGGGGGGCTGCCTGGAGTCTGGAAGGAAGGGCTGCAAAGTTGGGCATGCTATCCATCTTTCCGAGATGCCAGGGAAGGGGCTGCCTGGTCCGGACGGGCCCAAACAGTAGCCACAACGCCCCTCATCTCCCTTCCTCAGGCTTGAACAACTGTTATTTATGTAATGCAATTTTTTCTACATGAGCTAGCTCAAGAATTTGCCACAACATTGTTTTGCTCTAGGCATTTAACAAGGAAATTACTGACCATAATGTTGACCCAGTTGGTTGCATCACCACTGTAAAACAATGTAAGATCAGGAGATGGCAGTAAGAAATGTCCTGACGCAGAGCTAAAGGAATTGGAAGTTGTTCTTTTAGTTCACCCTCCACCCTGCATAGTTTTAGGCTCACTCAAACTTAAATGGTTAAATAGTCTGAAAAGAATGAAAGGACAATTCGTTCTCTTTTCAGTCACAGCCAGTTCTGACTATAATCGTGAACCAAGGAAAGCTGTGGTTGGCCTCAAAGTAGGGTTGCCAGGTAACAATATAATGGAGGATGCTCAGTTAAATTTGAATTTCAGATGAACAATAAAACTTTTAAAACATGATTATAATTTTTTAAATAATAAAATGAAACAATTATATCCCATGCAATGGTTGTACCCACTGATTGCAAGTCACTCAAAGACCATTTGTTCTGTCAGCAGATCCCACATTAAGCATTCTTAGATGCAGACCTTTTTGAGGAGCAGGTAAAAGTTTGGATCTTCTTGCCATCAAAAACATATAGTTATGCATACATTACTCCTACAAATATTGCGTGGGATATCCTTAGACTAAAATATTTATTTGTTGTTGAGGAAATAGCCTGGGGGTCATGTCTGACCTTCTGTGACTGCCCAAGAAGGAGGGAGAATCCAACTTCACACCAGCCCAAGGCCAATTCCCACAAGGCAGAAATCAGACATGGCTCCACCTACAACTTCCTTTACCCTATTCTGACTCCAACGGACTTTTCCACTGGGTTGGATAATCCATTGCAATGGCCACGGAGAACTCACAGACAATACTTATGATTATAGGGACTTAAGGAAGCAAGCAGATTTCCATAAGCCAAGATCACAACACATTAAGACAGCCCTTTTGTCCACAGCAATACCTCTTTCTCCAGCATGCTGACAGGCACATCTCCCTCTAGTCCTGAGCTTTGGAGCCCCAAAGCTCCTTGGCATTAGGCCAGAGTTCTAAAGCTCCTTTAGCTCTGATAGGTGTTCAAAGGGCACCCCATTCAGTGAGCCAGTCTCCTGTGCAAAAGCATTCAACTTTACTCAGTCTGTGGGCCTGGAAGCCGGCTGTTTCATCTCACCGTCTTGGTACTGTGGTTTCTGGTACCTCTTGCCTGCCCCATTTCTCACAGGAATCTTGCACATGCTCCACTGGAAGCTCTTCTGCCTTGATGATCATTGGATTCTTTCTATTCCTGCTTCTAAAATGGCTCACTTTATACCCAGAGGAGCAGCAAAACTTTTCAATCCCCTCCTGAGAGTACTCTATACCTCATTTGCATGCTCCCACCCAGTCATTTGGTAGGAATTACAAAGACTGTGGATAGAAGAACCATATCAAGTAATTTCACTTCATCTCAATGGTTTACCTGAACTTTAAAGTTAACTGAGCATTGGTATCTTATCTGGCAAACCTACCTCAAAAGATTCTTGAATGCCCTGAAATTCAATACAGATGTTCTAGAATATTTTGACTGAATTGGGAACTGGGCTCAGGCCCTATAAACAGGTGAAGTTGTGCCAGATACACGTATGGACCTTAGATGTCACTGAGCAGAGTTAGACATAAAAATATATAGAGGATGTCTGAGAGGAAGAGATCTCTTGATCTCTTCTTTATTGCTTTGCAATTCAATGTTAATTAAATGCCTGTTATGAACTGAGAGACCTAAAAGGACAAGGTTTCTGAGAAACAATTCGCCAGAAGGTTTGGAGTCAGGACTAATGCCCTGGCATCTGTACAAAGGGCCAAAGGCCAAAGGAGAGCATTGGTTAGAGAATCAGAAGCCAGCTGTTGGGTTGGGACTGGAAAAAACTGGCTGAATGAAGAAACAAATGAAACCATTTTTCTTGTGGACTCCTCCTCAAATGAACAAAGACATATCCTCCCTTGCACCTCAAGAAATCAGTGGAACCTGTAAAGCAGGGATCTGAACTCAGTAATCACACTGCCTTTCCTATTTTGGCACAGAATCATAGTTCCCAGTGGTCAGATTGTAAAGGGTGTGTGGTGCTAAAGGCCTTGGATTTCATCTGGAAAATGAGTTTTAAAAATCCTCAAAGGACTATAAACAAGAAAGTTAGCAGATCAGAGTTATTTGTCAGAAATGAGGCATAACTACTTCATCTGTTATCCAAAGAGCCAGAAAAAAAGTATATAACCATGCACTATCAATTCCAGAAGAGTAGAAAACAGAGGATGGCTGCTGTCTGTAATAGCCACTTAGACACTTTGGCAGACAAAGGTCCTTTGTGTTCCTAAGTTACCCTGGTAATCCACCAAAGCCCCTTTAAGCTTTGACTTCTGGTAGTTGCAAATTTAGCAGAAGGATTTATACAGGGAAGGCAAAATGAGACATGAAACCGATCCAGAAAGAATCCTCAGAGGCTATGATATCCATTATGACAATTTTTAAATAGCAATTTCTCTGATATCACATTTATCTAGTCCCTTTCAATGGGATAAACATATCTTCCTCTTGAATATTGGTGAATTGTAACTGCTTTGACAAATGGAATACAGTGGAAATGATACTATGTGAATTTTGACATTCAGCCCAAAAGAGCCATGCACGGTCCATATTGTTTTCTGCACTACTTACTCTTGGATCCCTGTGGAGAACCTTTTCTATCAAAGGCCATTTGGATATTTATAACATCATCCAAGGACAATACTGGTCAAACATTTAACTAACACCCCCACTAATGTGATGGTGGAACCCTGGTGGTATAGTGGTTACCCATTGGGCTGCTAATCATAAGGTCAGCAGTTTGAAACCACCAGCAGCAACTTGGGAGACAATTGAGGCTTTCTACTCCTGTGCAGAGTTGCCGTCTCAGAAACCCATGGGCGCAGTTGTGCGGTCCTATAGGATTGTTGTGAGTTGGAATTGATTCCGATGGCAATAAGTTTGGTTTTTTGAATGTGCTGGCTGGAGTGCTTCTCTCTGGTGAGGCACATGATGTTCGCTGGTGTTGGTGATTTCCAGGGTCTTATTTCGTCTGCAGGCTGAACTTTCTTTAACCCAGACATAGACCAACCACTGCCAGGCTGGCGTACTCTGAAAAAGCCCAAGCTACAAGGAGGTACTCCACATAAGCAGCCTAGTCCACGGTTATAATCTGAAATATAGGCTTTCATGTGACCTCCTTCATGGAAACGATCTTCTTTGTGGCCTCGAATGAACAACTTTTATAACTTTCTGCTGACATCTTTGCCATATTACTTTTTGTGAGCGTGGTATTGACTACCTATGAGTAGCCAAACCATGAACTCTTAACTCACTGCCATCAATGAGTTAATGCTGATTCTTAGCCACCCAGTAGAACAGGGGAAAGCTGCTCCTATAAGTTTCTGGGACTATAACTCTTTTTTTTTTCAATAATAGTTTTCTTGACATATCTTACACAATTCTATATATCCACCCACATAAAATTCTGTTGTTCACCTGAAGCCTTAAAGAACTGAAGATAA